TCCTGCATAGTGGCCTTAGAGGATGGCTCTGCCCTCTATTTGGGAATGGAATAGAAGAGTAAGTGGGGTGGAGCTAGGGAAGCAGAAAATCTAAAACAACAGGGGCCGAAGGACTGCAGGAACCTGCCAGCTTTCTAGAAATTTGCCCTTGAACTTTGCTCCTAAGGTGGCCTGCTTTTCCAGTTTTTAACTTTGAGACTATAAAGCAGAAGAGCTTCAGTAGTGAACTGATAAACCATTCAGGATGGAAGCTAATTTATCTTGAAGCTACTTTTTTTTTTTTCCCCAGAGCTGAGGACCAAACCCAGGGCCTTGTGCTTGCTAGGCAAGCGCTCGACCACTGAGCTAAATCCCCAACCAATCTTGAAGCTACTTTAAAAGGGTACATACTGCACATAGAGAAGAAAAAAATGGATTGGTAAGCCACATGCAGATACTGAATCAGAGGAGGGGAAGAGACCTGTTACAGCATTTCCCCAGTGATTCCTTGGGGAAGTTTAGAATTTTTGCCAGAAAAATTAGTGAACTGCCATCTTCTTTTGGGTGATGTAAAGCAGGAAAAAATCCTGGTGCCATTTGCAGAGTTCTAGGAAATAATGATTAAGCCACAGAAACTGAAGACTTCGGCAGTAGAAAATGATTTCAGCCATCTTGAATATTTATCCTTTTACATGTCAGCTCTTTCCATTAGTGTCCACTATCTATCTTGTGCTACTGCTTATTCACTTAGGAAATATATATATAATTTTTTATAAGTATATATAAACTTTTGGTTTTGAGGCAGGGTCTCACTGTGTAGCTCCCACTGGCCTGGCCTAGAACTGGCTATGTAGACCAGTCTGGCATGGAACTCAGAGATCCCTCTGCCTCTGCCTCTGCCTCTGCCTCTGCCTCTGCCTCTGCCTCTGCCTCTGCCTCTGCCTTCAAAGTGCTGGAATTAGGGGCCTGGAGAGATAGCTCAGCGGTTACGAGCATTGGCAATTCTTGCAGAGGTCCTGAGCTCAATTCCCGGCAACCACATGGTGGCTCACAATCGTCTATAATGGGATCTGATGCCCTTTTCTGGCCTGCAGGTGTACATGCAGATAGAGCACCATATACATAAAATAAATAAATCTTTTTTTAAAAAAAAGTGCTGGAATTAAAGGTTTGTACTACCACTCTGAGCAGGAACAGTTTTTGTGTGTTTTTATGTTTGTTCTTGGGTTTTTTCTTTTGTTTTTTTTGTTTGGTTGGTCTTTGATAGGGTATCACTGTGTAGCTTTGGATGCACTAGGACTCATTCTGTAGACTAGATGGGCCTCAAACTCACAGAGATCTGCCTGCCTCTGCCTCCCAAGTGCTGGGACTAAAGGTGTATGCTACTACGCCCAGCAGAAATAGTTTTAATGTAGCTAGTTGTGGCAGCTTATGCCTATAATGCCAGCATTTTAGGGGCAAGAGGTTTACCATGAGTTTGTAGATAGCCTAGATTACATTGTGAGTTCCAGGCCAGCATGGGCTACAGAATAAGATCCTATCTCAAAAAACTAAAGACAGACTAGAAAGATGGGTCAGCAGTTAAGAGCACTGGTTATTCTCCAAGAGGACTTAGGTTTGATTGCCAGCACCCACATGGTGTCTCACGATCATCTGTAACTCTACTTCCAAGTGATCCAACACACCCACTCTGGCCTCCCTCAGCCAACAGGTATGCATGTGGTGCAGAGACATATGCAAGCAAAACATCCATACACATAGAATACATTTTTGAGAGTTATTTTTAATGAAAAAGTGCTGGCAAGATGCTCATTCAGTAGGCAAAGGCACTTGCCACCAGGTCTAATGACCTGAGTTTGATCCCTGGTATCCATATTGTAGAAGGAGAGAACCAACTCCTGCAAGTTGTCCTGACCTTGTGCGTGCATACATATACAAATAAAGTGTAATTTTTTTTTAATTAAAGGAAAAAAGCAGGGATTTTTGTTTGCTGGATTTTCTTTTAGACAAAGTCTCACTATGTAACCCTGAATAGGCCTTGAACTCACAGAGATCCTCCTGCCTCTGCCTTCTCGGTGCTGAAATTAAAGGCATATGCCACTCTACTCAACTTCTTTTTAAAGGAAAGGATGTTGAATCTAGAGCTAGAGTTCAAGGTGGTAAACAGCTACCTCATATGGGTGCTGGGAACTGAACTCTGGAAGAGCATAAAGTACCCAACCTATGAGCCATCTCATCTCTCCAGCCTGGAAGGCTGGTTTTGTTTGTTTTTTAAGATTTTATTTTATGCAGGGAGGTGGTCACGAACACCTTTAATCCCAGCACTTGGGAGGCAGAGGCAGGCAGATCTCTTGAGTTCGAGGCTAGCCTGGTCTACAGTGTGTGTGTGTGTGTGTAGGGGTGTTTTTGTTTTTTGACAGGGTCTCATATAACCTGGCTGGTCTAGAACTCCATAGACCAGACTGGCCTCAAACAGAGATCTACCTGCTTCTGCCTCCCAAGTGCTGAGATTAATGGTGTGCTTCACCATGCCCAGCAGAAATACTTGCTCTTGAGCCCAGTTGCTGTTGTGTGAGAAAACCCAAACATCTCCAGAAAGCCCATGTAGAAAGGAACCTCAGCAACCTCACCCAACCCCACCCCACCCCAGTCCTCACCAACTGCTATCCCTGGGCCACCACTAAGTTGCCTCCTACCTGAGCTCTGTGAAAGGCTTCTCAAACTCCATTGCAGCCCTACTAAATGACACCAAATGGAACAAAGGCTAGTTGTCCTTGCCAAGCCTTTCCCAAAACACAGATTAATGAGTAAACTATTTGTTTTAGTCAACTACGTTTCTCGGGGAAGGAGAGGTGGTAAATAGCAACAGGTAACTAATAGAGACAAAATTAAATTTCATTCCTTTCCTGCTTGAGTCCTGAAACAACAACAGGCAAGTTTGTGTGCCACAGAAGGAAGTTGATATAAAGTATGTTATAGGACCTTGAGTTTGACCAGTGATTGATTGTAATGAGTCTTTTTCTGTCCCACCAGCCAGCTGCCAAATAACGACACAGACTTCTTAATTATGAAAGCTCGGCCTTAACTTAGGCTTGTTCCACCAGCTCTTACACCTTAAATTAACCCATGTACATTAATCTACATTTTGCCTCATGGCTTTTTACCTTATTTCCATACTGCCCATCCCACTTTTCCATGTGTATTGCCTCAGAGCACCTAGATTCCTCCTCTTTCTCTGCCCAGAAGTACCACCTGTACCTCCTGCCTAGCTATTGGACATTCAGCTCTTTTTTTAAACCAATCACAACAATATATCTTCACATAGTGTACAGATATCACAGAACAGGCTGATGGAACAGAATTTCTAGATGCTTGTCATCCTAGTTTATCAGAACCATGACAAAATACTAACCAAAGCCAGTTTGGGGGAGGAGAGGGTTTATTTTGCTTCCACTTCCATGTCATAGTCCATCTTTGAAGGAAGTTGGGACAGGAACTCGCTGCAGGAACCTGGAGGCAGGAACTGAAGTAGGTAGACAAAGAAATGCTACTTACTGGCTTGTTTCTCTGTAGCTTGCTCAGCTTCCTTACATAAGCCCACACCTGCCCACCTACAGGGGACTGGGCCCTCCCACATCAATCACGTCAAGAAATCAATCATGTCAAAAATCACAATCATACACAGAGAAACCCTGTCTCGAAAAACCAAAAAAAAAAAAAAAAAAAAAAAAAATCACAATCAAAGCCGGGCAGTGATGGCACACGTCTTTAATCCCAGCACTTGAAAGGTAGAGGCAGGTGGATCTTTGAGTTCAAGGCCAGCCTGTTCTACATAGTGAGCTCCTGGCCAACAAAGGCTACATACTGAGATCCTGTCTCAAAAAATAATAAAATAATAGTAATATGGGAAAAAATAATAGTAATATGAGAAATCAGTCTCAGGAAATCCATTTTCACCGTGTGGCAGTTTCTGAGGGGACTTTTGCAGGAGCAAAGTTATTTAATTTCTGATTATTTGGCTTCAAGTGGTTGTCAACGTTTTTGTACTGCATAATTATCCAAGAAGCCCTTTACTGTCTAATTTGTTGTTTCTGGTTTTCTGTGTTTATTGAGACAAAGTCTCTCTTCACCTAAGCTGACAGCAAACTTTGTAGCTGAAGCAGGTCTTGAATGCTTCTAACCGCTTGCCCCCGCCTTCCAAATGCTGGGACTTCATACTCATGCCATCACTCAGCTCTTGCTTTTGATTTGAAGATTACAAGTCAAATTACAAGACATCCATTTAATGCCCTGGAACCTTTCATATTTCCAAGAAGTAACTTTCTGGTAAAACAGACATCTGCTTTATCTGGGACAAAAGACGATAAACTGGCTTTCGAGCAATTTGGCCTTCTCCAGCGCTCTTAAAATACGGTTTCAACAACATAATCTTTACTACCCCCAAAAAGTTGCAAGTGAAGAAACTGAGGCTCTTAGCTCCCATCGCTTCATCTGCCAGCCAGAAACAGCAAGAGTCGACACACAGGCTGCCACCATTTTGCAACCCTCTGCGTGAGTCCGAGAGCCGGAGGCTGTGATTGGCTGCTGGAGCCGCGGGGGTAACCATGGTGACGGAAGGCGGGGCTGCGGCGCACCGCGGGCCCTAACAGACC